AGATGATGAGGTCAACAGATCAAGACCCTCCTGGCCAACACGGTGAAACCCCGCCTCTACTTAAAACACAAAAATTAGCCAGGCATGGTGGCACGTGCCTGTAGTCTCAGCTACTTGGGAGTCTGAGGCAGGAGAATTCGTTTGAACCTGGGAGGCGGAGGTTATGGTGAGCTGAGATTGCGCCACTGCACTCCAGCCTGGCAACAGAGCGAGACTCTGTCTCTAACAGAAAAAAAAAGGACATAAAATGGCAAGGAGGTATGTGAAAAAATGCTCAACATCCTTGATCATCAAAGAAATGCAAATCAAAACTACAATGATATATCATCTTACCCGAGTAAAAATGGCTTTTATCCAAAGACAGGCAATAGCAAATGCTGGCAAGGATGTGGAGAAGAGGGAGCCCTCTCATACACTGTTGGTGGGGATGTAAAGTACAACCACTGAGGATAACAGTTTGGAGGTTCTTCAAAAAAATAAAAATAGAGCTACCATATGATCCAGCAATCTCACTGCTTTCCAAAAGAAAGGAAAGCAGCATATTGTAGATATATCTGTATTTCCATGTTTATTGTGGCACTATTCACAACAGCCAAGATTTGGAAGCAACCTGTGTCCATTGATAGATGAATAGATAAAGAAAACGGTGGAAAACTATTCAGCCATAAAAAATGAGATCCTGTCATTTGCAACAAAATAGATGGAACTGCAAGTCATTATTTTAAGTGACGTAAGCCAGGCACAGAAACACAAACTTTGTATATTCTCACATTATTTTTTTGAGATGGAGTTTGCTCTTGTTAACCCGGCTGGAGTGCAATGGCAGGATCTCAGCTCACTGCAACCTTCGCCTCCTGGGTTCAAGCAATTCTCCTGCCTCAGGCTCCTGAGCAGCTGTAATTACAAGTGCTCACCACCACACCTGGCTATTTTTTTCTATTTTTAGTAGAGACAAGGTTTTAACTATATTGGCCAGGCTGGTCTCAAACTCCTGAACTGAGGTGATCCACCTGCATCAGCCTCCCAAAGAGCTGGGATTACAGGTGTGAGCCACCGTGCCCGGCCTATTCCCACTTATTTGTGGGAGGTAAGAATTAAAATAATTGAACTTACAGAGATAGAGAGTAGAAGGACCTGACCTGGGTGTAATGGTTCATGCCTATAATATCAACACTTTGAGAGGCTAAGGCAGGAGGATCACTTGAGCCCAGGAGTTTGAAATCAGCCTGGGCAACATAGTGAGACCTTATTTCTACAAAAAAATAAAATAAAATTAGCCAAGTGTGATGGTTCATACTTGTACTCCCAGCTACTTGGGAGGCTGAGGCAAGAGGATTGCTCGAGGTTGGGAGGTAGAGGTTGCAGTGAGTCATGATGGTCCCACTGCACTCCATCCTGGGCAATAGAGCAAGACCTGTTTCAAACAAACAAAAAGTGTAGAAGGATGGTTACCAGAGGCTGGAAAAAGTAGTAGAGGGGAGTAGTTAGTGGGGAAATGAGGATGGTTAATAGGTATAAAAAATAGAGGCCGGGCACAGTGGCTCACGCCTGTAATCCCAGCATTTTGGGAGGCCGAGGCGAGTGGATCACGAGGTCAGGAAATCGAGACCATCCTGGCTAATATGGTGAAACCCCATCTCTACTAAAAATGCAAAAAATTAGCGGTACATGGTGG